AGGCCACGGGTTCGGATCCTACATAAGGATGGCCGGTGCGCTCACTGGCTGAGCGAGGTGCGGGCGACACCAAGCCAAGGGTTGCGATCCCCTTACCGGTCACGAAAAAGACAAAAATAAATAAATAAATAAATAAATAAATAAATAAATAAATAAATAGATAAATAAATAAATAAAGCAAATAAATAAATAAAGACATAAATAAATAAATAAATAAATAAAGACATAAATAAATAAATAAATAAATAAATAAATAAATAAATAAATAAATAAATAAATAAAATGTCAGTCCATAACTGACACAGGCTCAAAGTCCAATTAGACCCTGGGTGGCCTTCAATAGCCCTCAGGTGAGCCAGGGAGACCTGCAGACCAGAAGTGACACAGGATTTGATCAGGTCATTTTTCCAGGACTAACATAAGTAAGTAAATGCTCCAGGCCTCCCCCTAGACATACCCTGGAATAAACTATAACCAGGTCAGACTCTGGGATGAAATGGTAGTAATCTTCACTGGTCACTTAAGAATCCTTTCTTGTGGGAAGGAACCAGGGTCCCTCACAGAAACTGTATCTTTCTTTAAATCTCTCTCATGTGACCATCCTTTTCCATTTCCACTGCCTGTCCCTCTAACTAATGCCTTTGTCTCCTCTCTCTTGAACTACTGCTAGATTATCCTAACTGCTTCCCTTGTCTCCTGGCTCTCCCTTCTCCAACCCATCCTACAAGCCATCTCCCATACTAATCTCCCCAAAGTATGAACTCATCAGACTACTTCCCCATTGAAAATTGCCAACTTGCAGAATAAAATCCAAATTCCTTAGTCTGCTCCTTCCAGCTCCCAATAATGGTGGAGTGGCTTGTACTGAACTAACCCTCCTGCCAATAATGATAATAAACTCTGAACAAAATATTTTAAAACAACTGTTTCAAGTTACTGGAGAACAATGAAAAGCAGGCAGAAACTGGAAGGGATTCAACCCTTGGAGTAAGGGAATCCAGATTGATGTGGCTGAGGACACATAGAATTAAATTTAAAACTTTTGTGCTTGAAAGGACACCATCAAGAAAGTAAAAAGACACCCACAAAGTGAAAGGAAACACTTGCAAATCATATATCTAATAAGGTAATTATATCCAAATACATAATGAACACTTATAACTCAACAATAAAGGATAAATAACCCAATTTAAAATGTACAAAGGAACACCAAGGTCCAGGGTTCAATCCCTGTACTAGCCAGTTGCAAAATAATAGCAACAACAACAAATAGATAGATAGATAGATAGATGAATAAATAAACAAACAAACAAACAAATAAATAAAATGTGCAAAGGGTCCATATCTATTGAATCAATAATGAATAAATTAACACCCATTTGTAATAAAAAGTCTCAGCAAAGTAGGAATATAGGGTAATCTCCACAACTTGATAAAGAACAT